AATATATTGAGATAACAGGGAGGGGAAAGGAAGTCAATTTTTCTTTCTGAAGGGTCTGTCTGGTTTATGTAGATAGAGGAATGTCACTTCCAATGGCCTATTGATCTTTAGGGGCCTTTAATTCAAAATATTCTCTATATAAGGAGTCATATTTTGGGGTGAAACTCCATAAGCTCCTTCAACTGCCACCTGTTCCCTTCATGCACCTTGGGCCAAGAAACCAGACAGCAAGAAAAGGAGTCATGGCCGGGCGCTGTGGCTCACGCCTGTAATCCTAGCTCTTGGGAGGCCGAGGCGGGCGGATTGCTCAAGGTCAGGAGTTTGAAACCAGCCTGAGCAAGAGCGAGACCCCGTCTCTACTATAAATAGAAAGAAATTAATTGGCCAACTGATATATATATAAAAAATTTAGCCGGGCATGGTGGCGCATGCCTGTAGTCCCAGCTACCCGGGAGGCTGAGGCAGAAGGATCACTCGAGCCCAGGAGTTTGAGGTTGCTGTGAGCTAGGCTGACGCCACGGCACTCACTCTAGCCTGGGCAACAAAGCGAGACTCTGTCTCAAAAAAAAAAAAAAAAAAGAAAAGGAGTCATCATCAAGGAGGAGTAATTGATGTTGATCATCAAGAACAGGTAGGGCTTTTGTCACATAGTGACAATAAAGCAAATTGTTATCACCCAGGTGGTAAATGCTTTATGTTTGTGATATCAAGGGTATATATGAAGGGTATTTCTTCATACTCCTTTGCCCAAATTTGATAGCAAATGGACAAATTCTACAGTCACAGCCTGAGGACAGCACAGTGACAAGGGCCTCAATGGCCCAACAGGTAAGCTGCTGACCAGTAGAGGAGTTAGCCAAGGGTAAGGGGAAATCTAGAACCGGTAGCAAGAGGAGACAAGGAGTATTATTTGTGGCCTCAAGACAAGCTATAGTGAAAGAGACTAGAAGAAGTCCTATTTACCTTCCTCTTGTATTTCCAGCAAAAGAGACCAAACAGATTCCTAGAGAAGCTGTTCCCAGATAGGGTGATATATTATATGAAGCAAGTGACCAGAGCTCCCCATGCAGAAGATGAACTGCATCATAGCTCAACTTCTCCTTCTGACAATCCTACTTTGTTCACTCCCTTACAGGTGTTTTCCCCAAAAGCACTCCCCAGTCAATCTCCTGAACGTGCTCACTGCTCTTTCGACATGTCCCCATTTGTCTATGCATTTCCTTGCCTTCTAGCATGTAAAAATAACACAGGCTTACATTCTACTTTTCCTGCTCTGGAATGAGCCATTCCTAAACAAGTAGGATTCCTGAATTAGATAAGAAATTATCTCAGGAGAAATTGGTGAAACTAGGTAACAATCTTTTGAATTTTCTATTTGTTTTAAAGTTTTCAAATTGAAAGCTAGAGAAACAAAAAAAATACCTCTTTAGAACTTAGAGTAAACATTTCCCAAGTTAGTCAAGTCTTTAACCACTGAGAAAGAAAATTGTGTATACGGCCAAGTTCACTGCTTACCACTCTTCCTCTCTTTTTCGTATTCACATATCACTATTCAAGCCCTTTTGTTGGTTGATATATCTTCTCAAGATTTCTCTAATCTCTGAATCTCATAGATCTGAAAATATCTTTCTCCCTGAGAGGTGACTGATAGCTTAGGATTCATGGGTATAATTTTTTTACTTTTTAATTATTATGGGTGCCTAATAGTTGTCTATCTTCATAGGGTACATGTGATGTTTTGGTAAAGGATACATTGTGAATTAATCAAATCAGAGTAATTAGGGTATTCATCACCTCAGGCATTTAACATATTTGTTAGGAACATTCCAATTCCACTCTTTTAAAGTATATCCTTATTGTTGATTATAGTCACTTTGTTATACTATCAAATACTGTTCATTCTAACTATATTTTTGTGTCCATTAACTCTTCCTTTATCCCCCCCTCCCTGTTACCCTTCCCATACTCTGATAACTGTTATTCTACTGTCTCCATGAGATCAATTGTTTTTAATATTTAGCTTCCACATATGAGCAAGACCATGTGAGATTTGTCTTTCTGTGCTTGGCTTATTTCACTTAACATAATGCTCTTCATTTCCATCCATGTTGTTGTAAATGGCAGGATTTCAGTCTTTTTTCTGGCTATATAATAGTCCATTGTGCATATATACCACAATGTCTTTATCCATTCACCTGTTGATGAACATTTAGGTTGATTCTATATCTTGGCTATTGTGAATAGTTCTGCAATAAGCATGGGAGTGCAGGTCTCTTTTCGATATACTGAATTCCCTTCTTTGGATATATACCCAGCAGTGGGACTGCTGGCTTACATGGCAGCAATTTAATTCCATTTTGAGTGTTTTGAGGAACCTCCATACTATTCTCCATAGTGGTTACACTAATTTACATTCCCACCAACAGTGTTCTAGGGTTCCCCTTTTTCCATATCCTCACCAGCATTCATGATTGCCTTTTTTATAAAAGCCATTTTAGTGGAGGTGAGATGATTTGCATGGGTATAATATTCTAGTCTATTGACATTATTCCAGCATCTTCCAGTCTCCAGAGTTGCACATATGAAATTCAATGTCCACCTGATTCTTTATACTTAGCCAGCAACTTGTTTTTTTCTATCTGGAACTCTGTAAGATTTTATCATTACCTTTGGAGGTTGAAAATTTTATAGGAATATGCCTATTATCTGGTTTTTCTCATCAGTCCTAACTAAAAATTGGATTGGATGAGGGAGTGGGGTACTTTCCAAGTTTCAGACTTAGGTCTTTCTTCTTCTAATATGAGTTTTTACTATTTCATCTCTCTCTCTTTTTTTGGGGGGGGGACCTCCTAGGACTTCTAATATTACATCTCTTGGATCTATCAAGTCTCTGTCTACTCTCATAATTTCATTTTATTTTTTATTTAGGATTTTTTTTTTAGTAGAGTTACATATGTACAACATTTAAAACTTATACAAGTTTTGTTTTGAAAAATATTAGGCCCACATAGATTTCAAATTTCTTACTCCCTGAATTGCTTTCAACTCTTTTTGCTGGTTTTTAGTATTTGGTCCCAATTTCTAAATAACATTCTTAGAGTGTTAATGTTACTAATAACTTTCAGCTACAGGCATTATTATCTGATATTATTTATTCATAAGATAAGAATTTAGCTCTCTTTCATTCAGAAGATAAAACAAGCACTATATTCAACCTCCACACACACACACACACACACACACACACACACACACTCTTTTTTCCCCCAATATCAATTTACTATGTTATGATAGGTCAATATACATTGTTTAGAGCAATATCCATTGTTTATATTGACTATGTAAACACTATCAATAGCCCTATAATTGAGAATTATCTTTTTTTCATTTTTTACTTTTCTATGTATTCAGAACTTATGTCAACCTATTCTCAACACACCCTAACCTGTTTGGTATTCTATCAATTTCATCTTCTTGAAGAAGTCTCTCCTTGAACCTCATGACCTATTTCAATCTACATTGGCTTATTTCTAGGCCTGTGGCTTTTCACCAACACAACGCCTTTGTCTCTCTTTTGTGTTGGATCCAATTCCCTCAATTTTTTTTCTTCTTCTTTGGTTCATGCCATTACTTTGACAATGCACAAACTCCAGTAATTTTCATAGAAAGGGTATGGAAAATGAATCTTAAACTGAATGCCTTTGTCATAACTTATTTCTCTGTAAGTATTTATTCTTAGTTTTTAGATATGTCTTCTTCTTGATTTTTCTAATGCACTCATTCAAGCAGATCTCCAGAGTGACTATACTTAAATTCACCTTCTAAAGTTTTATTTCAAAAATTTTTTTCTACTTTCCCTCAATGAAAGAATTACATTTGTTCACCGTTTTACAGAAATTTTCACAAAGCAAACCATAACAAACATTTAAAAGTAAATATATAACAGGCCATAGTCACTGGTCATAACACAATAATATTAGAAATAATTTTTTAAATAGATTGAAACATCTTAAAGGCTTGAATATTAATTACTGATCAGTGAGAAAAATCATAAACTCTAGAAATGAATGAAAAGGTGAACACTTTACATAAAAATTTATAGGGCTGGGTGCTGTGGCTCACACCTAGCACTTTGGGAGGATGAGGAGGATAGACCCACTGAGGCCAAGAGTTTGAGATCAGCCAGAAATGATGGCATGCACCTGTAGTCCCAGGTACTCAGGAGGCTGAGTTGGCAGAATCACTCAAGCCCAGGAGTTTGAGGTCGCAGTAAGCTATGATCACACCACTGCACGCCAACCTGGATAACAGAGTAAGATATTGTCTCAAAAAAAAATTTTTTTTGCAGAATACAGCAACAGCCACACTTAAAAATTTAGATCCCTAAATCCTTTCATTATGAAGAAAAATGACTAAAACTGCAGGAACATTATGCTTACCTTAAGATTTGTTGTTTTCTTAAAAAAGCACAAATACCAAAAGAAAATTTTAAGAATGAATGAATAAAGACAACAGTGTAATACCTTATACAGGGGAAAAAAGTAGAATTGACAAATAATTCCAAAAGGTGTTTTTATAAAAAACTAAAAAGATAAGTAAACCTTTTATGGTCCTGTTTAAGAATGTAAGATAAAACAAATATTAGCAAGACTAGGAATAAAGAAAAATGTATGATTTCCTAGGAAATACAAATAACTCAGATTAAAACAAGAAGAAAACCCAAAATGATCAAAGAAGAGATTAGGAAGATGATCATTATTTTAAATAATAATTACCGAAAAATGACTTTAAATCTGAGTTCTACCTAACTTTTAAGGAATAATTACAATGTTAAATTATTCCATACAAAATAAAAAGAAAAAATATTTCCCATTTCATTTCATGAAGCCAGCATAACTTTATTACCAAAACGTAATTTAAAAATAAACCTAAAAGCTATTAATATAAACCTAATTATTTCAGTTACTATGGCTACATTAAAAAATTATCCCAATACTCAGTGACCCAAAACAACAATATTTAATTTGCTCATGAAACTGCTATTTGGACAGGCCTAAGAAGGGACAGCTCATCTCTGCTCCCCTCAGCATCAGCTGGGATGGCTGGAAGTCTCCAGACTGAAATCCTATGAAGGCTCATTCACTAACGTGTGGTGGTTGATGCTGTCAGATGACTCCACACGTGGCACCAAGACAGCTGCTCACAGCTTCTGTATGTGGCCTATGCTTCCTCACATCATGCGGGCTAGGTTCTAAGGGTAAGCATCCTGAGTGAGATAGGCAGAAGCAGTATCATCTTTTATGATCTCACTTTGGAAGTCATGTAGTACAGGTTGAAGGAGAGGGGAAACAAACATCTCTTGATGAGAAGAGGCAAGACTCCAGGAGAGCATGTGGAACCAGAAATATTGCTGAGGCCAGTTCTGGCCAGTATAACATACCATAGTCTACTCTTTGGCTTTGAAAGTTCACATCCCTCCTTCATGCAAAATACATTCATTCCCTTCCTCGAAACCTATAACATCAAGCTGAGGCTTGAGGTCCAGGTATGAGCTTCTTGAGTACAGTTCCTCAAGTACAGCCCCTTAAGTACAGTTCCTCTTCATCTGAAGAGCTGTAAACTAAAAAAGATAAATTATGTTTCCACAAACAACAAATACACAATGGTGGAGCAGGTATAAGATGGCTTTAGATACTCCCATTCAAAAAGGGGGAAAGTAGAGACACAGAAGTTCATTGGTCCATTAAAAGTTTGAAGTTCACTTGGATACACGGTGCTAGTTCCTTGAGTAAGACTCAGTTGTACTGTTTCGTAATGATTCACTGTGGCTCATGGCTCCCCTTTCTAAGCTGTTAGTTCCATCCTCTGAGTCGCTCTTCTTTTTCCACAAAATGTACCCATGTTCTGAGAATGCTTCCTGTCTGTAGAAGTTTGAGGTAAAAGGGCCTCTTGTTGTTTTGTACTGTCTATGCTTCTTGGTCCAAGATGATAAAATCCTTTGAAAAACTGTGTGGATCCAAAGAGTGAGAAGAAAAGCCACAGACTGGGAGAAAATACTTGCAAAAGACACATCTGATACCTAAAATATACTGTTACCTAAAATACACAAAGAATTCTTAAAACTCAACAATAAGAAAATTAACTCCCCTGTTAAAAAGTAGGCAAAAGATCTGAACAGATACCTCACTATAGAAGATATACAGATGGCAAGTAAGCATATAAAAATGTGCTCCACTTGTCATTAGGGAATTGCAAATTAAAACAGTAATGAGATATCACTATATACTGATTATAATGGTGAAAATCCAAAACACTGACAACACCAAATGATGGCAAAGATGTGGAGAAACAGGAACTCTCACTCATTGATATTGAGAATGCAAAATGATACAGTCACTTTGGAAGACAGTTTGGCAGTTTCTTACACAACTAAACAGACTCTTATCATATGACCCAGCAATCATGCTCCTTGGTATTAATATTTACCCAAATTAGTTGAAAACATGTCTACACAAAAACCTGCATGTAAATGTTTACAGCAGCTTTATTCATAATTGCCCAAACTTGGAAACAACCAAGATATCCTTCAGTGAGGAATGGATAAACTCTAGTACACCCAGGCAACGGAATATTATTCAGCACTTAAAAAAGAAATGAGCTATTAAGCCATGAAACAACATGGAGGAAACTTAAATGCATATTACTAAGTGAAAGCCAATCTGAAAAGGCTACATGCTGTATGACTCCAACTATTTAACATCTGGAAGATGAAAAACTATGGGGACAGTAAAAAGATTCATAGCTGTCAAGGACTGGGGAAGGGAAGGATAGGCAGAGCACAGAGGATTTTTAGGGCAGCTATTTTGTATGATACTATAATGGTGGAGTCATTACACATTTGTCAAAACTCATAGAATATACAATACGAAGAATGGACCCTAATGTAAACTATGGACTTGGGTTTATAATGATGTGTCAGTGTAGGTTCATTGATTGTAAAAAACATACCACTGTAATGAGGAATGTTGACAGTGGGTGAGATTTTGGGGGAAAAGTGAATGGGTCACATAGGAACTCTGTAGCTTCACCTCAATTTTGTTGTAAACCTAAACTGCTCTTAAAAAAATAGTCTATTTAAAACAAAAAACTGTGTGGATTTCTTGTGAATCAACTTATAATCCACTCACTTAGACAAAAGCTGCACCCACAAATCTCTTCAAGATAAGTTCTTGAGCTTCCTGTAAGGGTGTAGAAGGATAATGCTCTTAAAATTCTTAGAGGACCTTTTGTTTAATGAAGAGGATCTGTAAGGCATGGCATGTCCTTGAGATTCCTGGAGGGACTATTGTCTGTGTGAGGCTTGACATTAAATTTCCTGAGGTCTTAACTGAGATTTTTACAATCACTCTCTTGGCGTCACAGTAAACCATGTTTTCCTGACAATACCTTAGATTTTATCTCCTTCCATAAGCCTTTTCTTAATTTTAGAATTGTCTGCCATCTGGAGAAACTGGAAAAGATAAAGCTTTATTTTCAAACTTAGTAAGTTCTGCCTGTTTTATATTTAACAATTCTTTTTTTTTAGCTTACCTCTCTCCTATTATATTTTACTATAAGCAGCAAGGAGCCAGGTAATACCTCAAACCTCTCCATAAGGAAATATCCTTATCATGCAATTCATACTAACCATTTGCCACTTTCCACGTTACCACAGGTGACAATATTGGCAAACTTCATGTCGTAACCTAACAAGGATCCTCTTTTCTCCAGCTCCCCATGACATTTGTCCAATTTCCTTTAAACCTTCTCTGATAGCCTTGAGGGTCATCAGGCTTTCACAGTCACCCCACTTCTGCCTTCTGTCTCATTCTGTCTTATTTACCTTCAGCCACTGCCACATTTTTAGGCTTCTGTTACATGGCACCCCACTTGCAGATATGAAAATCTATTTCTTTCTATGACTACATCATAAATTCTTCCAAAATTTAGTGGCATAAAACAATATGCAATTTGGGTGGGGCTTGGTGAGAATAATTCCTTTCTGCTCCACTCAGCCTAAGATGGGGCAGCTTAAAGGCTGGGGACTAGAATTGTCTGAAGGTTCATTCACACCTCTGGTGGTTGATTCTGGCTTAGTTGAGACTTTAGCTGGGCCTATAGGACAGAACACCTGAACTGGAAACACCTGAACTAGATTCTCCACATGGCCTGGGCTTCCTCACAATTTCAAACAAGCCTTGGAAGTCACACAGTGTCACTTCCTCAGCACTCAATTCATCGAGGAACTCAAAGTCCAGTTCAAATTAAAGGGAGTAGAAATGAATTCTATCTAATGATGCAAGAAAGTGTCATGGTTCTAGAAGATCATGCAGGGATGTGGCTGTTATAGGGGAATACAACTGAACAAAGAAATAAAGTGCAACATTCTTAAATATAAGTGAACAGGCCAGGCACAGTGGCTCACACCTGTACTCCCAGCACTTTGGGAGGCTAAGGTGGGAGGACTGTTTGAGTCCAGGAGTTTGAGACTAGCCTTGGCAACATAATGAGACCCCTGTCTCTACAAAAAATAGAAAAATTAGTCCAGTGTGATGGTACACATCTGTAGTACCAGCTACTCATGAAGCTGAAGCAAGAGGATCTCTTGAGCCCAGGAGTTGGAGTTTGTAGTGAGCTATGATGATGCCACTGCACTCCAGCCTGGGTGACAGAGTAAGACTGTCTCAAAAACAAGAAAGTATAAATAGAATCTAACAATTTATCAAATTAATATTACCCTATGACCAAGTAGAGCATATTCTAGGAATATAAATTATTTCAAGATCAGAAACTATGAAGATATAATTCATTAACTTCATTAATGAACTGATATATTGAAAATATATATCATAAACAATCATATATAAATGATAGATTTGAGGGGAAAGTATTAGAAACACAAATGACAAAGGATTACTATCTGTAACACAGAAAGTATTCTTACCTTTTGTAAGAAAAAATGCACAATAAAAAAATTAGGCAATGAATACAAATAGGCAATTTATACTAAAGCAAATGAAAAAACATGAGAAGATATTCAAACTCACTAATAGAGAAATGTAAAATAATGAGAAATCCCTTTATACCCATCAGATTGGCAAAAATTTAAAAAAAGTATAAAATCTAAATTGGTAGGATGGTAGGAGGTAAAAGAGGGCTCTAATACATTGCTGATGATAATGTGAAGTGTTGAAGAATTTGGGGGAAGCAATCTGACAATCTAGTAAAAATAAAATTGCAGATATATTCCCACCCAGCACCCCCTTCTTGAAAATCCATCCAATTGAAATATAAGCCCAGCATTTGAAGACATAAATACAAAGAACAAGGAAAAAAGTGAATTGGTGAATGGCCAAATATAGTATATCCATACCAGGGAATATTATATAGACTTTAAAAACAATGAATCAGCGCTAAACCATATCTTGGCAGGATTTCCATGAAATATTGTTTGTTTGGTTTTTTATTGAGACAATAAATAGCACTGTTGCCAGTGCTATTAACAAAATACAGTGGTGTCATCATGGTTCACTGCAACCTCAAACTCCTGGGCTAAAGCAATCCTCCTGCTTCAGCCTCCCAAAAAGCTAAAAGACTATAGGCATACCACCACACCCAGCTAATTTTTTATTTTTTGTAGAGACAGGGTCTCACTGTTGCCCAGGCTGGTCTCAAGCTCCTGTTCTCAAGTAATCCTCCCGCCTCGGCCACCCAAAGTGCTGGGATTACAGGTGTAAACCACGATGCCCAGACCGTGAAATACTGTTAGAAAAAAGGGCAAGATGCAGAAATGTACGTATAAATGATCTTATTTTCATTGGGGAAAAAAAAAAACCTAACTGTAGATGTCTATATGGATATATACAAAGGCAGTATGTGCAGTGGTTAAAACAGACTCTGGAGCTGGCTGCCCAAGTTCAAATCCAAGCACTTGCCTAATCTCTATACCACAATCCTTTCAGGAGTAAATGGGGCTAATAAGAGTAGTTAACTCACAAAGTTGACATGAGGATTAAAGGAGCTAAAATATATAAAGCACTTACAACAGTGCCTGGTGCTATAATAAGCACTGTAAAAGTATTCACTCTCATTAAGATTATATGTGCATAGAGAAAAATGGGGGAAGACACACTCTAGGTTGTTAATATGGATTATGAAGGGAAGAGAGAAAGAGTAGAAGAAAGGAAATGAGAAAGAGGGGCTGAGGAAAGTGGAGGGGAAGGTTTTCACTTAAAAATAAGCATGCAAGATATGATCAAATGAATGTATTAACATAAAAATAAAGATGGCTATCTTTATTAAAAATTAGAAATAACATTAAAAAACAATGAAGACATACTCAATTTTCAGTAACAGGTAATTTTATTATCCTGGTGAAGAAATCTCATTAAGAAAACAACAACTTGATATCTCATGTTTGTTTCAAAGGAGGGTATTTGGGTGCAAATAGATCATAGAAAACTGTTCTCCTCACTGTACAGAAATTAGGGAAGTTTTTGATATTCACATTTTCTGAATTCATATTATCTCTATGATATATAACAAGTAAGTACCTCTATATAGCTGAGGCTTCCTAGAGGC